ATTATCACTGATGTGTTCATGTTACTTTTGCAATTTGTATTTCATTTCAACTCAAAACCAATTGTTATTTTTTTATGTATAAAAAACATATTTATTTGTTTCAAAATAAATGTTATTGCATTTTACCATTATTTTTATTTTGCCATTTTTTACGTTTTTGTCATAAAATTTTATATTTTTTTCATTTTTTAGCAATTTATTAGTTTATTAGTTCACTATTTGAACTCGTTATTCCATTTTTATTTTACTATAATTTAACTACACTGTATAATATAATTTTTTTCAAAAAAACAAAAACACTGCTCTTTTTAACAGTATTGGTTTGTTGGGGATTAGGTACGTCGGCGAGTTAAACATATTACAAAAAACAAAAATTTCAAAAGTGTTCTAATAAAAAAGTTGGTTTAAACATGGTTAGACAAGCTGCCATATGTGGAATAACATGATTGTGCCACGTCATTTTATGCACAATGATCCTTTTTTATCAAAATTATCCCGAAAAACAAACAAAACAATGAGTAATATACACTTTAATTATATTTATAGATATTTGTGATTTGTTATAATAGATTAGTTATACTTAAAAAAACTAAGATATCGGTCCTTATTAATTACCAATAATATGAAAGAGGAAATGTTACAAAAACATCAAAAAATCGTAATTTGATTTAAAATAGAATTAATTTATTTTTATCCAAATGTAATTTTACACAACAAAAACAATAAGGAATTATTCAATTGAGTCAATTATCGCAAATTGAATCGCTCGTGAATTTCCCGCCTTTTCTACTTTATCAATAAAATTCTCGCTTTTTCATTTTTTCGCCTTCTCAGCCATTCTTGGCTTGGACTAGCCTCTTCATCATGTCATCCTCCGCCTTGAATTTTTTATGCATGCAACGGACAAGTTGCAACCACCTTGATTGTTAGTTTCTTTGATTTATTTATTAATAGCTGTCGATTTGGATGGGTGCAACGAAGTCAACATTTAATCTTCTGTCTATTTGTCAAGTTTTCCTGATGTTTATACTGTTATATTGTTGATAAATTAAAGTATAATGTTGTTATGGTTAAGCTACTTACACAAAAAACAAACCAACAAATTCGTCTTCAGTCGCTTTCATTGCAGTTAATATAAACTGGAAATAAAAAGTCTGTACTCGATATAATTCTTTTTTTGTGTGTTTTTTAATATTTTT